TTCTGGAACCTCAGAATGTCAGGGCTCTTTGACTTGAAAGCTTCACCTACATATTCACAGAACTGAAGAAGTTGATTCAAGGAAATGCTGAAGGCAGGAACAGTGGTTATTAATAAATCATAACAATGATTATTTTCCTTTCAAGATACTCAGTTGGCCTTATAAGAGGCAGTATCTCTGTGATCCATCAGCTGAGCAAAAGCCTGGGCTGCTTTGGCAGCCTCGGTAGCATCTGCACAGAGTGCCCTCCCTGGTGAACTGAGGCAGCAAAAGCTGGCTTTTCTTCTCTTCTGAGGGAGCCTGGAGCAGTGAAGGCAGGGGTGCCAGCATCTGCTCAGAGAGCAGTGTAGCTTGAGGAGACCCCTTGCCTTTGCCCCAGGCAACAAGGCTTCCCTCCCCCTGCCTGTCCCCTCCACGCCTGCAGCCCTAGGGAGGGAAGTGCCCAGGACCTGGGGACCAGGGCAGAAAACAACCCCCTTCTTTGTCCTGCCACATTGAGGGAACAGCAGGTCCACTCACAGCACAGTGATTTATTTATTTATTGCACAAGCGTGCTGGGCACCTGCTGTCCACCAGTGCCCCGTGCTCTGAGAGCTCAGCCTTCCTGGGCAGACACGCCCGGTCAGACAGTGCCTCACAGACGGGGCCCGGGGCCCGGCCGAGGGCTCCCCAGCACTCCTCAGGGTTGGGGTGCACTGATGAATCACCGAATTTTTGTTGAACTCCTCTATGTGCTGGCCTGGCTCAGGATGCTAGGGCGGGTGTGGAAGGAAGGGCAGGTGCATTCTGGGTCCTTCCAGTCCTATGATCTTATCAGATGAGACAGTTTTAGGCCCCGGTGCAAGAGAAGACAGAAAACAGAACCAGGGATGTGGAGCTAGAACAGTCCATAGAGCCAGATTCCTCAGAGGGTCTTTAGAAGGGTGGAAGGTTCTCCATAACCCTTACAGATTCCCCCAGAAGAGAAGAGTATGCAAATAGAGGAGGCCTGAGCCAACCCACGCTCTCCAGAAATTCTTCACCCATTGGGGTCTTTTCTGTCAAGGCTTATCTTAGAAGTCTCAAGTAATTAAAAAACAAAAGCCTAGGCACTGCTGACTTAACTTTACCACTGAGTCTCAACCCATTAAGGGAATTTTAGAGACAAAGAAACTGAGACCCAGAGAAGTGAACTCCATAACCAGGGGACACATCTGTCCCCTCTCCACCTCAGTCCTCTGTCAGACTCCACCAGAATCCTGGGGTTGTGGTAACCCAACTGTCCAGGTGTCTAGGGCCCCATATAGCCCCGGTCCCTGGAAAGAGATGAGAAATTATCTGCCGAATCCAGCCCTGCTCCAGCCCCTCTACAGCTTGAAATGGTAGGAGAGGTGGAGGAGCAGATACAACCCTTGGAGCAGGGAGGTCCCTCCGGATGCTGCAGGTCCCGTCGGGCACAACCCCCACCTGCCGGCCAGTGGCAGCCCAACCGCCTCTTCCTGCAGAACAGCCAAGGTTGCAGGGCAGAGGCGGAGCACAGTGCAGACCCCGGACATGGTGCTATGGGCACCTGGAAATGGAAGGGCAGCCTTTCCAGGGCTGCGGGATCACTTCCAGGGAAGTATGAAGGCTCATTCAAGATGGGAAGAAGACCCAAGTGACCAAGAGACCTACAAGGACCCCAGCTGCTCCCCCACCTCCAACCATCTCTTCCCACCAGGGACAATGAGTTAAGTGGGCAAAGGGAGCAGGCTGATGCTTTATGCGGAGAGTAAGAGCCTTTGCTCCCCCTGAAAAGCGACCCAGTAACAGGGTGAGCTAAGTCAGTAACTGAGTGTCATTTTATACCTACTGAATTATGGAGTAGGAATATTCAAATTATGATATTTCATGTTGGTGGTTCTGAGGCTCGTGGCACACTAGTACCCTTTTGTGGTGTCATATAGCCACACGTCATTTTGAGAAGGAAGTGTGTAATGGAACCTCACCAGCCAGAAGCCATAGAAAAGACTGTACCCTCTGTCCTGTGAGTTCGCCCCAGGAACCCATCTTCAGGAAACACCTCTGCACAGAGACATCTGCTGCACCATTTCCATGATCAGAATCCTCACGGTCATGGTAACCAGTTACTGGGCGCCATGTCCATGCCAAGCACTCTGCCAGACTTGGCCATCTCTTGCCCTTCACCTCGCCCTGCAGGGTCAGGTATCCCCTCCTCAGCTTGCTAATCAGCACGCTGAGGCAGACAATTCACAGAGCTGGCCATGATCTGAACCCAACCCTGTATTTCTTCAACCAGATCCCGTTGTCTGTTTAATTAAAGAAGTAACACTGGAGGGAGTCCAAACACCCAGCAATGAGGGAATCTTTAGGTAACTCACGGGGATAGTAAACAGCCACAGAAGTAATGGAGGGAAGTAGACTTTAATCTAGTATACATCAATACGTATGAAGACCAGGACCCACAGAAATGTGGAGAGCAAAGGTGTAGAGCAGCCACTAAGTGCAAGAGCAAATGAAGCTCAGCGCTTGGCCCAGGGCTTCAGACAGGGGCTGCTTTCCTGGAAGAAGGAGCTGAGCGATGCCACCTGACTCCTCTGATTTGCCTTTGCTCTAGTTTCTGGGGAAGACCCTCTATCTGCAGGGATCGCCAGTCCCCTTTCTAGGCATTGGGATGAGCCTGGAAAAAGCCTGCTTGCTCTCTGGGCCAAAGCACAGCTAAGACAAGGCTGGAACATTCAACACATTCCTCACCACAACCAAGGGACGGCAACAGGGAATCAAGGTGGAGAAGACACAGACTGACATAGTCTGAGTTGTCACAGCTGTGACAGGGTGTCACAGCTGTCAGGGTGGCAGAGAGAATGGTGTGTCCTTTTAATCCCCCACCATCAGTGGGCTGGCCTCTTCTAGAGCAGGACCCACAGGGGTAGATTCAAGATTATTCCCAGGCCATATGTCACTCAAGGTGAATCTGGGGACCACCAGGCTATACAGTCTCCTGGATAGCAGCTGAGCATCATGTCACATTTAATATCATGTTAAGACACACACTTGCTTAGTAATTAGGGTGAGTTAAGTAGCCTGTGATATTTGACAAGCATGACTTGCATCCATTCCCTGAGCAGCACACGGTAAGAACCATGTAGAACTGAACAAGACATCATGTCCTCCCTTCCACGTGCCCCCGTATGGGGGGCAACCACAGAGGTAATTACCAGCCGTGGGTCACGTGTGCTAACAGAGGGGGGAAATGACTCTCTGGAGAGGATTCAGAAGAAAGGTTCTGTGGAAGAAGTGTTTGAGTTGGATCTTGAAGGATGCCTAGGAGCTCACCAAGCAGCCAAAGCCAGAGCTTGAGTGAGAAGGGGCTGGAAGAAAGGTCCAGTTTACTGGGAAAACATGGGCAAAGGGTAGGCCAGGCGTAGGGAACTGTGGCCACTAGAGCAACAGGAGGAGCTTACACACACACACACACACACACACACACACACACACACACAGAATCACCGATATAATGCCAGACCATGGGGCGCAGGGAACATGCCTTTCCAAACAGAAGTTAGGATCTGTGGTTTAAGAATTACAAGTGTGATTCCATTTACAAGAACTGTCCTTCCAAAGGCCAGGATGGTCCCTCCTGGTGACCACTGCGGCAATATCCTTGCTACTGGCCAGAGAGGGGAGAGGTGCTTTACCTGAGACAGAGGAGAAAGAGGGAGATGATGGTATAGAAGAGCCTTGGTAGGAGACAAGGACCCAGCCATCATGTGAAGGGCAGTACCAGTTCTGGCAGAGTGTCAGGCAGTGTCAGGTGGGGAGCAGAGGGAACCCTCAGGCAGAGGGCTTATGGGCACTTATGGACTCTGAGGTGGGAGAGATGGCCCCTTTGCCCTCCAGGGATCCATTAACAAGTTACAACAAACGGCTGGAGCAGAGACCCCGCTCCCCAGGCCCACTCTACCAGGATGAGCCCGGGGAAGCAGCAGGGTGACTCTGGGGGCTTCTGGGCAATGGTGTCCAAGTCTGATGCTGCCAGAGAAGGGGTGCCCTGAAGAAACCAGGGAGGAGGGCTGATGGGGCCAGCTCCCTTGGGGACTGAGTAACAGAAACCCTGATGGAATGTGAGCTCCAGGAGGACCTAGATTTTTTTTATCTATTCCTTATTTCACTGCTTTATTCCCAGAACCTAGAACACTAACTGACACATATAGGGACTCAATAAATAGCTGCTGAATGAATAAATGGGTTAACTGTTGAACAAATGGAAAGATGATGGATGGGTGGAAGGAAGGAAGGAAAGATGGATGGCAGGAAGGAAGGAAGAATGGATGGGAGGAAAGGAAGATGGATAGATGGATGGGTATATAGATGGATGGAAGGAAGGAAGGAACAAACGAAGGAAGGAACGAAGGAAGGAAGGATGGATTCATGGCTAGACAGATGCATGCATGCATTAGTGAGTAGGTGGATGCATGGATGCATGCATGGATGCATGGATGGATGACCAAACTGGGGAAACGCAAAAGCTAAGGACCTAGAGACATAGCAGAAACTAACTAAGCAGGCAGGAGCACCTGGGTGGCTCAGTCTGTTAAGCGTCCCACTTTGGCTCAGGTCGTGATCTCATGGTTCGTGGGTTCGAGCCCCACATTGGGCTCCGTGCTGACAGCTCAGAGCCTGGCGCCTGCTTCAGATTCTGTGTTTCCCTCTCTCTCTGATGCTCCCCCACTCACACTGTCTCTCTCTCAGAAATAAATAAAACATTTAAAAAATTTTTAAAAAGAAACTAAGCAGGTCTGCTGTGCACCTATCCCACGTGGATAACCTTAGGCTGTTGCTGCTGAGGTGTTGCAGTCCATGCCCCTCTGTGCCCAGGGGGGATATGCCAAGCATGATCATGCCCTGGTGGCCTAGGCTCCCATGCCCTAGACCCAGGGCAGTGGGGATGCCAGGATGGGGCAAGGACTGACAACAGACATGTATCCTTCATACTCATTGTGTGTTTTCCTGGCTTCTAGCCCGCTCCAAAAGCCTGGTGATGGGGGAGCAGAGCCGGAGCCCTGGGCGGCCACCCTGCCCCCACAGGCTGGGCCCCATACTGAAGGAGGGCTGGCTGAAGAAGCAGAGGAGCATCATGAAGAACTGGCAGCAGCGCTGGTTCGTGCTGCGTGGGGATCAGCTTTTCTACTACAAGGACAAAGATGAGACCAAGCCGCAGGTGAGAAGCATGTGTCTTGTGTCCTGGGCACCACGGTGGGGTCCAAGGGAGGGTAAACTAGGCCCAGGAGAGGGGAGAAGGCGGAGATCCTCCTGTCAGGACTTCCATTCCTCAAGGCCCCAAGCCACTGACTTCACTCACAGTGTCACTTCACCAGGATTTCCAAAGTGATTGCTACTCCCAGCCCCCGTGTTCCTGGTATCACCGCTTGTTTTATGGCCGCAGCCTCAGCAGTGCAAATGTCTCCACATACTGTGGGTAGGGAGCCTCTCCACACAGCTTAAGGAATCAAGTCTTCTCTGCGTTCCTTTCAGTGTCTTGGTGACATTCCTGTTACTTCTGCTCTCCAGGGACGTGGGTACCCAAGACAAATGTAACCCCAAACTGAAATCTGGCTCACTGTGGAACCCCGTGTCCAATGCCTCTGCCTCTCAGCAGCTCTCTTGCTCTCCACCAGTACTACAAGATCCACTTGATCTGAGGTCGGGTGGGTGGGAGCCTGTGCACATCTCAGCAGTTCCCACAGTGTAGTGGTGGGGCCTTGGGGGTGCAGAGAGGGTGCTCAGTGACGGGCAAGGTAGGAGGGATCTGGGCACAGTACAGGGTCACATGGACATCACTGTGAGATGACCTTCCCACCTCTCTTTCAATTCTTCTGAGTCTATCAAGGAGGAAGCGTCAGTTGGGTACAGACATGTGTTTCGCCGTCTTCAGCATTTGGGATCCTCCCTTAAAGAATGGGGACAGGAACGGGGGCAGGAAGGAGCTGGCCTCATCTCAGAGCCTGCAGTGGCAATAGCGCACACGTTCTGTCTTCACTGTATCATCCTAATGGTTAACTTCTGTTTGTGAAAAGTGGTACCGGGTTCCATTCATGACAATGATATCATGTTTTCCCCTCTACAATATATCTAAGTTAAAATTGAAAAGTGTCGCACAGCAGTATGAATGTACTTAGTCCTCCTGAACTGTACACTTAAAAATGGTTAAAACTTTGGGGCACCTGGGTAGCTCTGTCAGTTTAGTGTCCAACTTTGGCTCAGGTCATGATCTCACATGTGAGTCTGAGCCCCGCATGGGGCTCTGTGCTGACAGCTCAGATCTGTGTCTGTGTCTCCCTCTCTCTCTACCCCTTTGGATTCTGTGTCTTTGGATTCCGTATCCCTGTCTCTCTCTCTGCTCCTCCCCTGTACTCTCTCTCAAAAATAAACAATTAAAAACAATGTAAAATCAATCAATCAATCAATAAAAATGGTTAAAATGCTGTTACATGTTATGCATACTTTACCAGAATAAAAAAATAACTACTGAGTGAGACTGTTAAAGGAAAACTTTTCCATAGACGATAGCACCGAGGAGAGGTAGGGAGGACACAAATCACAAAGGGGGATCTGAACTACAGCTTAGGAAACCCTGATCTTGTCTATACTCCCCAGTTTCATAAGGAAGGAACACAGCTCCCAGGGAGGCTGAGTGGGACAAGCAGAAACTTTGGAGTCAGGCAGGTTTGAATTTGATCTGCATTAAGTCTAGCATGCTAGCTTTATGACTTGGGACAAGTTACTTTGTTTTTGCCTTTGGTTTTATCACTGCTAAATGGAGACATTGTTCCCTATGCCACAGAAATGTGCTAAGGATCAGACTGTCACAATACACATATCTGATTGCAAATTCTAGCACATGGGCTACCTAAGTCTGGGTACCCTCATGCTTTCTCAGCCCTGCCTTTGCCTTGCTCCCCACCTCTCCAGCCCTACCGCTGAGCCCACTCCTCACACTGGGCAGCACACTCCTGGCTTGCCCACCACCATTTGCCTTCTGGCCTTTACTTTTTGTGTTCCAGCCCAGCCTTGGCCCTTCATAACGATGTCTTGGCTTTCCTGGCTGACCTATTAGTGACTCTTACATATGACTTGTCAGGTCACTCTGAGACTATGAAAGTTTCCAGGGTCCCTAGCCTCTTAGAGCCCTGTTTGTGGCCCCTCCTGTCTTCCCCTCCTGGCCCAGCCCCTGGCACCATCTCCAGGGAGAACTACATGTTGATGCTAGGCGAGTCCAGGGGACTAAAGGACCACACTCAAGGGACCCAGGCCATGTGTGGACCCCTGCCACGGGCTTCCCCACATACTCCTTCCATCTCCCATCAGCTGCAGCTCCATGAGGAAGCTGTGTCTTCCAGATTTGCTGAACCAGACACTCCCCTCCCTCACCTGTCATCTTTTCCAGACTTCAGTGGCGTCTAGTGGAAACGACTAATAAAATGGTGGTGTCAACATCCCCAGCCACCAGCCTGGAGGAGCCTGGGGCCCAATCCAAACTAAACCAGGGCATTCATTGCCAGGGAGCCATTGGGAGACACTGTCTCCCAACAGATGCCCACATCATGCCCAGGGCCCCTGTTTTGGCCTCTCTGCACCTGGCTGACATTCCCAATCCTTGTGGGACACTATCGCTTCCCATAATTCCCTTCCCCCGCAAGTCTGATGGTAGCCTGTTATGCAAGTCCCCAGTCTCAAGGAGACTGTTGGTTAAATTGGACTCATTTAGCTTATACTGCATGATCTCAAACCTACGTGCCTGCTGGCAAAATAGCCCACACATTTCCACTTAATTGCATGAACTACATGTAATGGACTAATTCCCAATATCTGGTTCCTGGAAAAATGTGCCCTGCTCACTGTTTACAGTGACAGAAGTGCCCAGGCAGTAAGCACCCTCCTGACAGACAGCCTGTCATCTGTCTAGCAGATGTAATTGTCGAGAGGAGGGATGTCCGGCTACCCCTGATGCTGCCCAGAGCACATAATGCGTGATGAGGATGACTCTCGGCCCATATTCTGGTTCTCTCTCAGGGCCCATATCGTGCCCCTTCTCACTAGCAGGAGGGTCAGCGGGGAACAGACGAACTAGAAACGGGGAAATTCAAGATGGAGGAGAAGAGGCTGTATGAGCTCACGTGGGAAGACGAGGCAAAAGTGCTTTAGGACAGAACCTGGAAGTGTGCCCCTGTCCCTGCTGCTTTCCCAGGATGTGCCCCTGATGGTTTCTCCAGCAGACAGACGTTGTGGTTGCTAATAGAAGATTCCAGGGTTTTGCATCTTAGTGGTTTTAGCTGATGCTGGAAATGTTTCTTGAGCCATGAAACCTCCTACCACATTCTTTATTGGGCAGCCTGGTCTGGCAGAAGGCCCACTTTTAGTCTAGTGAACTAGCATCCAAGCCCTTCACTTCTGGGTCTCTTGGTTTTGAAGAGAAAAGGAACAGGATAGAAAACAGCAAGTATAACCTCCAAAACATACGATGGAGAAAATGATCAGTTCAACAAATGGGCAGAAAATGGGGGGAAGAAAAAAAAAAACAAGAGGGAAAGGTAAATAGAAAATAAAACATAAGCAAATAGGATGGCAAGGATTAGGGACCAAGAGTCATCATAACAAACGTGACGAGGGTCAGATTTGTCGGTCTGTTAAATGACAGAAAGTGGAAGACTGGCTTTGAAAAAGAGCACAAGCCAGAAAGGATGAAAAACAAAACAGTGGAGACAAGATAAGCCAGCAAGTGCAAGCAGAAAGAGAGCAGATTTAGCAACATCAAAATCAAATATAATAGAATTCCAGGTGACGGGGACAAAGGGAAATATTTCATAATAATATAAATAACACACCGAGAAAATAGATCAGCTGTGAACTTTTATGCTCATTATGACATAGCTTTGAAGGATACATTACCAAAGAAAACCAATACTCATTGTTCTCCATTTTTTTTCCAAAAAGTGAAATGACAGGGACACGTTCATTGACTGTGGGGCAAAAGAAGACTTCTAAGAACAAAACAATAGTGAGTGAGGGTGTGCATGCAAGAGGGAGAGAAGTTCTATACATGTGGGAATGAAACACACACTTCATAATACCTCCTAAAGTAATAAGGAGATCAAAGTTAAATCAGACTTCTAGTTAAGGATGACTAGATTTAAAAAACCCCACAACTCCGGTGACGAGCACTGAAGGGCGCTTTTGAAGGTGTGAACACACCTTGGGGGAAGGGACGGGGGAGACAGCCGCCACATGCATCCCGGATGCTAGAAAACAGACGGGTGAGACGCGGCTGATTCAGCAGACCCTGGAGAGCTGCTGTCCAAGCCAGCGCTAGGACAGCACAGAAGTCTGTCTGGTTTGCAAAGCAGCGCCCCCTCACTTCCCACCAAAGATTCAGGGATTGGGAAGACCAGACGTCTCTGGAAATGAGGGCAAGAGAGGAGCCAGACACAGGAGAACGGGTGGAAGGGCAGCTTAGAAAACAACTAGGTCGCAGATGTCCTGAACAACCTCACGGGAAGCCTCACTGCCTTCCATCCTGAGGCGTCGCCGTGGAGCTGGTTCTCCGGGAGGGGCGGGAGCGGCGCACTGCAGGCTGAAGGTGCTGGCCCTGCTGGAGCACGAGACAGGGGTTGACGGGCTCCAGTTACTTAGGCCCCCCACCCCCCGCCCCACTCTCCATCCCACATGTGGCGCCCAGGCCCCAGCAGTCAGGAACAGCCCTCAGGAAGGACATGAAGAACTTTCGCTGAAGAATCTGACAGGCCAGGAAAAAAACACAAAATATACCGACAGCAGAGCTTCCCCAGGGAAGCAGCCCTGGCCCATCTCTCTGCATTGGCCTGTCATGTAGACAGTTCCTCATGGCCCCTCATACAGCTTCTGGTCCACTGTTCACAGAGCCATTCCTAGCGGGGGCGAAGAGGTTTGGGTCACTACCCATTTAAGGAAAGAATCTCATGTGAAGGACAGACACATACACAGGAAAGGAAGGAAGGAAGAGAGAGAGAGAGAGAGAGAGAGAAAGAAAGAAAGAAAGAAAGAAAGAAAGAAAGAAAGAAAGAAAGAAAGAAAGAAAGAAGTGAAGGTAGAAAACAGGAAAGAAAGGAAGGAAGAGGGAAAGAAGAGAAAGAAAGGTGGAAAGGAGGAAAGAAAGAAAGTGGAGAAGAGGGAAGGAAAGAAGGG